TATATAAAACCATTATGTATATTATATATAAAACCATTATTTATACATTGCTATATATAATGATTTATGCTGGAAATACAGTTCTGCATAATCTAAATCTAATTTAACACAACACCATTTAAGATGTATTTAATTTCCGTCTAGTTAAGTATTTTTCAAAACTGATTTTTTAGTGTTTATATAAGAAAACATTGTGAATTTATTTAGAAATTTCCCTATTTTGGTCATTCAGTAGATTTCCACTCTTTTTTTTTTTCTAAAAAAAAACCCAATGGATACGTTGCCTTTGTTCTTATCTCTGATTTTCTTAATGTTAATTCCAGAAAGAGGAATTACTGGGTTAAAATAAACATAAATATTTTTAAGGCTCTCTTATGTTTTATGCTGCAAAATTACCCTTCCTGTTGACAGTGATATATTTTAAACACTCAAAATATATCTTCCCAATTCTGGTGATAATTTTTGTGACCACCCGTGTAATATATGTAATATGTCCTCTGAATGTTATCTCGGGTCAAAGACAAATATCAGTCAAATCTTCAGGCTCAGGATATATGCCTCTATGAACTCCACTACTAGTTTTCACTACGCATCCTTCAGGGTATGTGAAAATAGTCAGTAAAATTTATAAAATGAAGGTTAGGAATCTGAGTTATTTTCCCCAGAGATTTATGAATGATAAAATAATATTATTATGTTCTCTTATTGCATTGTGCTCTTTAGCCATCTTCCATTTTGTGTGATATAGCTCCTTAGGATCCATTTGTTTGAAAGCTACTGTGTATACTCATTTTGTATTGTGGCAAATGCTGTAATCTACAGGGTTCCTATTCATTTTGGAATTCATTTCACAGCTCACTAATTGTGTGAATGAGAAGAGAAAATATATGCTTTTATTCTAAAGCATGCCAAGCAGATGGCCAAAGTTCATTGCTAGGAGTACTGTCAGTGTGGCTGTCTTCTCTAGGTAGTAAGCCTGGCATCGATCTGTCAAACACAATGTGAGGGTCCATTTAACACAGCACTTGACAATCACTGAGCCTCTGTTTTGTTATGACTTATAAACATTTTATTTTTGTATCGTCAACCTCCAAAGTGGTTGGTCATTTGAGCAGGTGCAAACACAGTAGAATTCATATTCGCTTTACTTGAGAAGCCAAATGAACTTTTATTCATATGGAAATCTTGGGGAAAGGAAACAGTACAAGAGATTAAGTTTAGCTTCTTGAAAAGCGAGTAATACAGCTATTGAGATTCAAAACTACCATCGTTTCTGAGATTGAAACTTTTGAAAATTTGAGTTGAAGAAAAAGATCAGGGTTTATATCTTTTTAAAGCTAAAAGATTAAAACAGTGAAATAATTTAAGGTTTTAAGTAAATCTCCCTTAAAATCTTTGTTTCTTCCTATAAAAGGAAACTGTTTACTTACTTTTATATACAATATGTGATTTATATGACCATTAAAAATGTTAGCAATGTACTCATTTTGTGTGTGTGTGTGTGTGTGTGTGTGTGTGCATAGTGAGACAGAGTAAGAAGCAGAGAGAGTCACTAAAAGGAAATAAAGCCTGTCTTCATACATTTCCTACTTCAACGGCAATACTAGGACTATATGTAATTGGGTTATTTCAGGAAAAGGAGGATAGGTCAAATTTTCTTATGGAGCTGATGTAGTAATTTGATCATAATGACTTGTTTAAGAGAATGAGAGCATGTTAAAGATAATGTTTTCTTCTTTATACAAAGAAAAACGGTATATATATTTCCCTTACCTCTTCCCTCTCCCTCCTTGCAAACCATCTACCACAGGTTCTACAAGTTATATTGACTATACATTTCCCTTTCCCTTGCTTTTCAGACTGATGCTGCTCTAATGTATGATGCTGTGCATGTGGTGTCTGTGGCCGTCCAACAGTTTCCCCAGATGACAGTCAGTTCCTTGCAGTGTAATCGACATAAACCCTGGCGCTTCGGGACTCGCTTTATGAGTCTAATTAAAGAGGTATGTCAGGAGAAGAACATCTGCCTTGTCTCTTTTGTTGTCAAGCTGAATGAAGTGAGATTATTGTGGTTTTTCTAGCAAGTGACCTTTTACTTTATGTTTAATTTAAATTTTCTCTCTTACTTTAAATAAGCAAAATTAACATTTTTACTAAACAATACCAAATGAAAGGTGGGGGAAATCCCATTAGAAACAAAATATCTGTCAAAGTATCTATGAGGGTTAACCTTTACCTTTCTGAATCTTTATATTTATTACTTTTCCTTTATGTAGAGATATAGATTAATAAAAGAATACTTATATTTTAGGCAACAAAATATAAAATGCATTTTTAACATAAATGTCATTTGCACTACAGTAAAATTATACCTAATTTGTGAGGCTTCAAGTATAGTTATTTAGATTAATTGTTCCTAAATATGTCTAGTTATTTAAATTATATTAACAGTTAACAAAAATAGAATATATGAATTAATCAAAGTGCAAAATTTACTCCATATTATATAATGCAACCATTCTTATTACCACATATAATTTCTGATTATGTCTGTTACAGATCAAGCATATTCATAGTGAGAAAAAGAAACATTTTGAAGATCATATGTACCTACAAATATACGTGCATATATATACAAATACATATACATATATATTTTTCCTGTCATAAGAGAAAGTCCTTTGTTAGCTTAAAATACTTTTCATATATGAAAGTTTAACCGAGCCTTAATCTTTGCAATGAGATATCACAGGTATTATTACCATATGAGATTTTTTATTAATGGCTTAAAATAAATCATCAGTTCATCTTGTAATAAATTGTTCATCATGAAAATAAAAGTGCAAATAGGATCATAATTAAGTATCTCTGAATATCCATGAATTTTCTTTGTCTAATTCTTATCAAACTCTCAGGTAGACGAATTTATAATAGTTTCCGAAGAATATGCAGTTTATTAGTTGCCCATATTCTAACATTTACTTCTGGTTTAAAACTGAGCCTTAGTGAGCTGCAGACATAGTCCACAGGTCTGGTGAGATGAAGAATTGATTTTTCTGAACTCAGCACTAGATTATTGAAACCATGCCATGTGTCAAGCAGCCCGAAAAGAAGCAGTTGTGTGACATTCCCCATTGTATTTATTGTAGGGTGTAATTGAGAATCTTGTCCACTAAATCACACAGTGTCCCCCTTATGAGGACCAACAGGAGAAATTTCTCTCAGGTCTCAGTGCCAGGAAAAGCTTTCTCCTGAGCAGCTGGTATGTCTTAAATTATAGACCCTTATATTGTGTTTTTATCATATTTTCTTCTTTGTTTTGGTTGCTAGGCAGTTCAGAAGTGAATTTGTGATAAAATTATTTGTGCAACTTCACCTGGTATACATTTCTTTATGCTCTCTCTACCCCAGATTTGTTCTACTGTTTTATACTTCTATTCCTGTACTTCTTGATCTTTTTGTTGACATTTATACTATTATCCATTTTTGTTAGTCACTTGAAATTTTTTCTTTGGAAGACGTTAGGCTAGAAATACTTTTTTCTTCTTTATTGTAAACCAGTGAACACATGTTTAACTATAGCAAAGACATGTTGCAGTATGTTTATGAATATATATTATAATTTTTCTATTTCATTTGTAACTTGTTAGCTGAAAACTATTTGAGAATCCTGTACATAAGTATCCAAATACCATATGGAGCCTAAGACATTCAGTAATATAATTTCAAATCCTTATTGAAATATTACTCTTAATCTACTGATATTTACTTCTTTGGGGTCTTGTTTATATTATTTTAAACATTTTAGTTGTGAGTATACATTTTATAATTTAAAATTTCTGTATTTAACTAGTTTTTCCTAAGCTATTTCCAAATTACAAACAATGGAAAACATCTAATTGTAGTTCTATAACCAACAGAATGGGAAAATTTTTACATTAAAAAAGTCCAGTTATTTACTTACCTTTTAGGGTTGAACATATTATATCACTAGATTATTATATTCCCATCTCCTTCTACATGACGTATATCTTGATATGAAGTAATTATAATACATTTCCCCTGCTCTTACTTAGGGGAAAGTAAAGGAGTAAGTTAATTATTCTATGGGGAATGTATATAATTGAGTTAGTATAACATAGCTTTTCCTGGATTTGGTTTCTCTTATTGTAATAAGTTTCTTTTCATATTATTATGAATTTGGTAGTGGGATTTTATAACAGTAGTTCTATCTGTATTTGCCAGTGAGATCTTTAATGTGTCATACACCATAAAAAGTAATTAAATTCTTCTTACTTTACTAAAAGAGGTATACTACTTACAATGTAATAATAGAGTCTCTCATAGACAGAAAATTATAACTGGAAAATGCATTTTATAAAATGAAAAATTTGTAATATATTTTCTACTGAAACTAAGATAATTTATGTAGAAAAACATTTTTCAAATTTCAGAGGAAAATTAAAATATTTTAAAAATCTCTAGCAATGTCAACTATGAAAAATAATGAATATAAGGTTCCTACTTTTATGAAAAAATATTTATTCCATCTTTCTTCACTTATTTATTATCATTTTTTTTTTTTCTGTTCCCATAGGCACATTGGGAAGGCCTCACAGGCAGAATAACTTTCAACAAAACCAATGGCTTGCGAACAGATTTTGATTTGGATGTGATCAGTCTCAAGGAAGAAGGTCTAGAAAAGGTATTTCAGTCAGCTTATTTGCTGTAATTACTAAATGAAACATATCTCAAAGAAGACAGAAATATTCTCTGCTGTAGTCACATTTCATTGACATTTAACTTTAGTAACTCTAAAAATAAATATTTAATTCATTATATTGAACATAATAATTGACAATTAGGATTCAAGGATAAAGGGTATCTTAAGTCAATTTTATATTTTATTTTCTAACTAGAGGTTTTCTGATGCATATAATCTTTGAAATGCATATAATGTTAATTAGTCTTAAGGTTTAATATAGCAATTAGAGAATATGAGAATATTTGGTTTAATATGGGTCTTTATACGTGCAGCTTATAATCACTTGTGGTTACATAGACTTTCCAACTTGGAGCAGGCTATTAAAAAATTAAATATAAAAGTGTTTCCATCGTTTGAGTCATATTTAAGTGAAATATTTGAATTAATGTATGCACAGTAAATATGGCATATATATAAATGTAGCACACTACACTGGATCTATCTTACTTGATTCTATTGCTAGGGATTGTGGTAAAGCACCCAAAGAATTTGGGTATGTGCATACTTAATGAATATTTTAGTGTGAATTTTCTTAAATACATAATGTATGTATTTAGATATTTTTCTGTTAGATTCATTGATAATTGACGAGATATTAAATCTTATTAAATCTTTTTAGATATTATCTAGATATTATTAAATCTTATTAGATCTTATTAAAATAAGAACTTGAGAAAAATTATATGTGACTGAGATAATATTGCTTTGAAGATAGTAAGCTATCTTATAGTTTACCTAGCAATGAAACATGGAGCTTTAGTTCTAGATAGAAACTGAAGAGGAAAGCTGAGACCTAAGAAGGGCTTTTTTAGCCTGCAAGATAACAGCACATTTGAATGCTGATTCAAATCATCCAGGAGAGAGTAAAACTACATTTTTGATAATGTCCCCAAGACAGTTTAAGTACACTATGACCAACTACTGATTCAAATTGATGTAACTGTTACCTCCTGCCATTGAGGATTTCAAACTGTACACTTTGTCAAGACCATGAAAAGTCAGGAATATTTTATAATAAACTGGAACCCAAGTATTCATGAGACAGTCCCTTCCTAACTATCTCACTCTTAAGATGAGAAAATTAGTCTGTGTCCAAGACTGGAGTTGATAATGGTGGAGTTCAGTAAGCTCTTAAGGAGTTTATCTTATTGTTTACTGGAGATGTTATTACCTTATTTATTTATTTATTTATGAAATATCCAAATCACTAGGAGGAACTTGGACCATTGCTGACATTTCAGTACATCTGCATAAAAATGGCAATGCTCTTCATATTACCATAGATACATTCCTGTCTTGAATTCAAAATAAATAAAACATTACAAAGTTTTCACTGTGCTCCATTGTGGCTTATAGATAAGCCTGAATATAATGATTATCAAGTACATATGATGATTTATCACACTGATAAATGAGGTAAACCAGTATGAGTTTTGCAGGTTGCTCTGCAATTTCATAAACATTTTTTGTATTCTTTTCTAAAATCTGAAAATTCATTTTGCTGAATTAATTATGTGCAGTACTTATCCTCAAGGGGCTTTTCATGTACAGTGATAAGGTAATGCATATTTGTAAATGAATACAATCGAAAGCTATATGTTTCAAGCTTTCAAAAGTCCAATACAAATATATTTTCTGATAAAAAGTATAATTAATCAAGAGTCATAGTCAATTGAGTACTTAGAATTAGCTTTTAAATATGTTGAATTATTGATTGTTAGACATTCAGTCATTTTAGAAGGAAGTAACAGCATGAGGAAACACAAACATAGCGTTTGATTTTATCATTATACACATACACATACACACAGTGGAAGAGGGAGATAAAGCTAAAATGCTAGATTTTAGTCATAACATAAATACCATGTTCAGGATATTTGCAGGATATTAGAATACAGTGCGAGTTTAAAGAAAGAATAGTCCTGAAGGCTACGGGTTACTTGGGAAGATAATATAGTTTAGAATAATTTGACTATGAGGACATGGATGTAAAACCATTCTAACAGGAAGTGGAGATGAGTAAACAGTTTGTGATAGAAGGCATTAATTGAACCATCAACAATGCTGTTAGTTCAAAGACAAGCAAAGCATTTGTATGTTTTTAAGGAGAAATGGAGGACCCAGGTAGGAAAAGGGGGGATACCAGGGATAAAAGCATAACTCAAATATTGGAAAATGAATTACCAAGCAGGATAATTACTAGTAGAAAGGAATTGGCATAAACCTTCCCCTGAAAAGACAGATAAGGTACTGAGGATGGGTGGAGGTAAGTTAAAGAGAAAGGGAACAAAAAGTTCACATGAAATGTTTTCAATATCCTTGAAAATTTGTACATGAACTCATCAGCTAAAGGACAGAGGCAAAGTTTAGTCAGTTCTTAAGAAAAATTGAAAATTCCATTTTGACAGACTTGATTTTGACTTAGAAGGAACAAAGTGCTGCTAAGTAGCAAAAGGTCCTAATTTTAAATTTAATAGAATGGTTAAGAGCTCAAGGTCTAGATTCAGAGAGATTTGGGCTCAAATTCTCACTCTGCACTTTACTTTTTATGGACAAATTTATTAATCTCTCTAAAACATGGGGTCTTATAAATCATGAGACAATAGCAGTTATCTGCCTCATGAAGACTGAGCGTTATTGACTTGATTTTTTTCCCCCTGGAAAGTGCAGTTACCAGCTCATTGATGGAAAAGGCAGCATCCCTACCTTGATAGAATTCACAGTTTAGAAGGGTCAATAGATGGTTATCCAAGAGGCTTGATTTTCAGTTCCAATTCCATCAAAACTAAGTGTGTGAACTTCATCCTGCCACCTAACTTGTCTGTGTCAAATTTCTCATCTTAAAAAAAAAAGTAGAGTGCAAAGGGCTGCCCTCTTGGACAGTCTGAAGTAAGAATACTATGGCCTCTAAAAGAACCCGGAAGTAACATCTTGAAATATATTGAGGCTAGAAATTTTAATCGTTAAAGTTAACAATTATATTCTATCATGACTGAGAGACAAAAATGAAGAAGGAAAACATGTAATGTGCTAGCTTTATCCCTCTTCTCATGCCCATTGCCTTTTTTTCATTCTCCTTCTGTCTTGGTCATCTTAGACCACTTCATTTAGTAGATTAATCCTCTAACAAATATGGAAGAATGTCTGTCTTATGCCCTCAAGAAGATTATAATCTAGTAGAGGAAACCTGCCAATGATAAATAGACTCATTAGATTTATAAAATTATAAGACTTGGAAGTAATAAGTGCTGAAAAGTAGGTTATTTTGTTTTTATGTCACTGACATGATAGATTTTACATAATGTTCAGAAACGTGAACTTTAGGATTAAAACAGTTAACAGGAAGGAAGCCCATATTTCTGTTTTTTACAACTGTGGAACAGATAAACCAGGAAGAAATGAGTATACTTCTAATGAATGGGAAAAGGTGGGCCATGCTCAAGTGTCTGAGCCTGGAGTGGAGATGGACATCCTTTCTACTTAGATGGTGTCCATAGATCAAATGAATCCTTTCTACTCTATTGTAGCAGAAGCCTTAATTGGAACCCAGCCCAATTCACTGTGGTCCCAAAAAGATCACCGTTACTATATATACAGCCAGTCGCTTCTGTCCAAACAAGCTCTCTGAGACCATGGCAGTGCCTTCAATGGAGGAGGGGAGGGCAAGAAGGGGAAAAAACAGTAGGTGCTACTACAGACTTTGTCTAGTTCAGGCAATACTTTTGCTTATGAGAGGCTGATATTGAGCACTCAAGAACAGGAACAGGAAAACAGAATAAATGATTTTCCAAGCTTGAATTCTTCTGGCCAGTCCAAAGATCGTATAGTGTATTCTACTTTCAAAATATGTTTAGAATCCATTCATCTCTCACCACATCCATTGCTGAATCATAAGGGTGGTACCTTTCAACTGTACAGCTACACTGGAATTCCCACAAGTCTCTCTGTTCAACTCTCTTATAATCCATTCCCTAAACCACAGCAGCCAGACAGATATTTTTAAAAGAAAATTGACCCATGTCATCCCTCTGTTTAAATACCTTCATAGGTTCCGATTGTATTTTGAATAAAGTCCAAAGCACCAGCGACTTCTCATCATGTTCTCAGATATTTTCTTATGCCCTACCTACAGAGGGTTTTTTTTTTTCTTCCATTTCCTCAAGAAAACAAAGTTTTCTTATCACTTTGGCATAGAGTAGTAGAAACAGTTTTCCCAGCCAGGAATATCCATTCCCAGTGCCTTTGGCTGGAGAACTTTTATTCATCCTGGTGGTATCATCTTGAGTATTACTTCCTTGGATAGGCCTCCTCTAAGTCTCTAATCAAGTTTAAATTTTTCCTAAGCTCTGCCCTTTTTCATTTCTGACTCTATCAAAGTCCGCAATTATTTATTCATGTAAACTTTATAAAAGGGCTATCTCCCTAGCCAGAGTGCAAGACCTACTAGATGGAAAATATATGCTCCCTTTTCCACTATTATATATTAAGGCTTTGCAAAGTATCCCTTGTCTTGAGGACAAAGTATGTACTTAAGAAATATTTGTTGACTGTTGAATGAATAAAGGATCTTTATGGAAATTATGAGATACTTCACATAGAATGCTTACTCAAGTGTGTGATGCAGAGTTATTTTCCTATAGCACAGTTTGTTGCTTTTCCTAGCTTTGCTCTGTACCTCCAACATGAGAACAAGGAAAGACAATAGTCAAGGGGTCAGTGGGTTGGGGTCATGGGTCAATGTTTCAAGTGGGTAAAGGATTTTAGATTGCAGAAGGTCACCCTGAAGTCTGAAATTGTAAGGATCCACATTGCTTCAGTGTCAAACCTGGCCCCATTCATAGTGCAATTAAAAACTCCAGTTTTTCTTATGCCCTACCTACAGAGGGTTTTTGTTTGTTTGTTTGTTTCCTCAAGAAAACAAAGTTTTCTTATCACATTGG